GTGTGCAGGCTTTATTTGGAAAAAAAGGAAACCCAAACAGAATGAGAACAAAAAGAGCTTTTCAGTGTCTCATGCCTGATGCTGGCCAAGATCCAGATAGATCCCTACTGCTGGCTGAAGTTAGAGCCGTGTCAGTTTACACTAAACTGTGTCTGGCTGCCTGCTGCCCTGGATGGATTTTCTGAGAGCTCCAGGTCATCCAGATTTGGGAGTGTGTGACAGTGTTCACAGGGGTCTCAGGATGAGGGAAGAGACGAGGATCTGACTCCACGTTTCAGAAGGCTTGATTTATTATTTTATGATATATATTACACTAAAACTATACGAAAAGAATAGAAGAAAGGATTTCATCAGAAGGCTGGCTAAGAATAGAATAGCAAAGAATGATAACAAAGGCTTGTGGCTTGGCTCTCTGTCCGAGCCAGCTGACTGTGATTGGCCATTAATTACAAACATCCAAGATGGGCCAATCACAGATGCACCTGTTGCATTGCACAGCAGCAGATAATTAATGTTTGCATTTTGTTCCTGAGGCCTCCCAGCTTCTCAGGAGGAAAATCCTAAGGAAAGGATTTTCCATAAAAGATGTCTGCAACAGGAGTGTCCATCTTCTTTTGCTTGGCTCGTTCCTTATATTAGTGGCCAAGAGATAGAATGGTGTAAGAGTCATTTTGGGAGCCTAGAAAAATCTGAAAACCTGCCTGTGAGTTTCCCTTTTCCAGTGAGAAAGTCTTTTGGTTGGCAATGGTACATTTGGACATTTTTTGGCATTTCAAGATTAATAATATTGACTTAAAACATGCAGTGAGGCGGAGTAAGCTCTTGCTTTCCACAAATATAGAATGCATTTTTAATTTAAACATTTACAAAATAGAGAATGCATTTTTAAGGTACCCATTTACAAAAAGATAAAAACCTCTTTTTCTTTTTCTTTTTGTTTTTCTTTTTCTTTTTCTTTTTCTTTTTCTTTTTCTTTTTCTTTTTCTTTTTGTTTTTCTTTTTTTCCCTCCCTTCCTTCCTTCCTTCCTTCCTTCCTTCCTTCCTTCCTTCCTTCCTTCCTTCCTTCCTTCCTTCCTTCCTTCCTTCCTTCCTTCCTTCCTTCCTTTCCTTCCTTCCTTCCATATAAAGGACATTTTTTATGCCTGTTAATGTAGATAACCAGAAAAAAAACCTCATTAAAATTTCCTTACATTATGAAAAAGTATGAAAAAAAGTATTCCAGGAAATACATCAAATCTGGACCTACAAAATCTACTCTAAGAAGACACAGCTTTGTGAATTGATTGAAATCTGAGGGGAAAATCAAGGCCTTACCTTCTGCAAAGATTGATTTTGGGCAGCATTTGTCTCCATGTGTTCTGTAATATACCCAAATTCACTGCTCTATAATCAGGGTGATTTGAGTTTTGAGTGCTGCAAAATGTGAGTAAAACCTCTTCATCCTAGCTAACTTTCCATTTTCAGGTTTTTTTCATGTGACAAGAAGACATAACTATACAAAATATCATCCTGGTAGAATACAGGCATACTGTTGTGTGATGGGATCACAGTCAGCAGTCTTGGCTTTACATTTTTGAATCTGAATGTGCACGGCTCAAAATTCAGGTTTATTAGGAGTCATCAATGGCAGTTTATGCAAAGAGCAGACAGTTCCTTTATGGTGCAGCCTGCTTGCCAGTCTGTTACACAGTTGGGTGTAGCTGAAGAACAAGTGGGAGACAAATGAGGAAGTTTGATTCCTGAAGTAATTGGAAGCATCCAAAAGTATTCTCTGTATCTGTTAAAGAGAGCAAAGGACATTCTTGTGAAAAGCCTGGCTCCTGAAGAGAGCTTCTGCCTGTGGGAATCCACAGAATCAGAGGGTTTTGGGAAAGCTGCAAAAGGCAGGCCCCAGAGACAGCAGAACTGTGATCAGAGCTAAGCAGCAGCCATGAGATAGGCCAGCAGAAAAATTATTTAAATTGTAGCAAAGCAAGGACAAATAGAACAATGGTCTGTGTACTAACGCTTGTCTAGAAAAACTCTCTAAGCTACAGAAAAGTTTATCTAGCAAGATATTAGGAAGGCTGAAGCTTAATAATGGAGCTCTGTGCATTGTGTTTAAGGCTTACAAGCCGGTATTGTGTTTGAAATAAGCAAGCATTGTTTTAACCACAGGTACATGTGCTTATAGTGGTTGGATGGAACTAGTGTCAGTGTGCTTTTGCTTTGTGTGATTGGTCAAAAAACTTATAAAGTGAGTTGTTACATTAAGTTCTTTGTCTGCTGCCTGGGATGTGAGCTGCTGGCATCTCCCCATTGTCATAACCATGGAATGAGAGTGATGCTGGAAATTAAAACAAATTCTCAAGGCCCGTTCCACAGCAGCCCCGTCCCGTTTGTGATTTGTACAGAGATTCCTCCCGGTGTCACTCCCTCTCCTGAAGGATCATGCTGCTCTCTGAACTTCTCTGGAGATCTGGGCTGCTGCTAAGGATGCCATGTGCTTGAAGGCAGAAGGGTCCTGCCAGCCCTGAGCTCAGGAGAGTTGGCCTCTGCATGCTGCTTCACCCATTCACCCCACTCAAAAAACCCCACACTGCAAGAACTTGGTGTTTGATTGTTGTCCATTTAATCCTAATTAGACATCCTAATGTCTATTTATATCCTAATAACCTTACCATTTGTACTCTAGCTTGTACAACTTATGTGGTTTCCCCCTCTGGCTGTGGGTTTTTCTGTTGATATGGCTCATAAAAAAGCTGTTGGCAATATAAAATGATGTAGGCAATAGGAGTGCCTATCTCTACAGTATATAAAGGATTTCTGTAAAAATAGCCCTTATGTAGATGTTAAACTAAATGCTGATAGTTCTCACCTTTTATTTTCAATATTTGGTAGCTCACTGCAAGATGTTCCTATAGAAATTGGGAGTTCCTTCACTTAAAATGTGGAATTAACTTTTTCCTGCTATAGAAATGGCATCAAAAATATTATAAATACTTCATGCTTTCAATTATAAGACTAAAGAATTGGGAAAGAAGAGGAAAAATTCTAAGAGCTCTTCCAGCTCCTGTTCCATGAATGCATCAGTGTATCCTTTGTTACATTTTCAATGCTTTGTCCAAAATCCAGGAGAAGCAATTTCCATCAAAGATTTTTCCATAATCCAGAACTAAGTACCAGATGAAATTTACTCTCAATGTTTTCACTTTATTTTCACTATACTGCTAACTGTACTTTTAGAGTATCACTGACAAAGAAGTAATAATTTTCTTTCCAGTTCCTCTCTCCACAAAAATCCATCATTGTGTTGCATTCTTAGTATTTCCTTAGGTGTTTATCTCTTTGTGGTTTAGATATGAAGACAAATTTTCCAGCTGTATTAAGGTATTCTGTGATTTTTTGCCACAAAAGAAAAAAAAATTCCGTAAGGTTTACCATGAGGATGTTTATGGAATGCCTGAACAGCAGATTATATTGTGTATAGTCAAAATGCATCTTCATTTCTTTCTAGATGAGAACTTTTTATCTGCTTCTGAATGAACCTTGATCAGCTATAAAACTGCTCTAAGTTTTTCACTGAGTTCTAAGGCAACCAGGCTGCTTTTTGAAATCTGTGAAATATTTTCACTAATTCTTTGGAACAGGTCTTTTTCCTGTCTCGTGTTCACAGAACATAACAAGAGTTCATGTCTACTGGGTATTTTATGTGCACACAGTTCCTTTTTCCATATATGTTTTTTTAATGAAATAAGACATGGATTCTGAAGCTGGTGCTGTGAGAATTTTTGTTATATGAAAAGCCCCTTCATTAAAAATAATATTTAATTTTTTATTACAACTTTCATTTTGCAAAGATATTTTTCCTGTTTCTTCTCAGAGTACTCTCTGTGTTATAGGTGTCAAATTGATTGACTCCTGGGTAATTATTTTTCATTTGTGCAGAATTAGTACTATTGATGACAACTCTGGAAGTTCATTAATAGTCTGATAATACCACACAGTACTACTACATCTTCTGTCAGACAAAACAGTATTCACATCATGAGGCCAGAGAGAAGGCCAGTCTTAGAACAATACAGATTTTTTTTCATTAAATAGATTTTTTCTTCAGTTCCTTATTTCACTTTCATTTCCAAAGGTGGAGGAGGTAACATGGAAACACATATAACTGTGTTTGCCCCAGAGAGAAAATCCCTAAACTTGCTCCTTCAGAAAAGTCAGGTATAATGTCTGGGGTAGAAGTTAAAACTGACTCTATGTGATGAAACTAAAGCACTTGACCAAAAGTCTATCCTTAAGTAACCTCTTGAATAATCGCCGAACAAACAGTGGTTCTGTAAATTATTCTGTATAAAAGTACAAACAGATAAACTATAATATGGCTACTTTACATTGTAGTCCAGTGTTTTGTGGACATTTTATTGCTGCTGTGTCTGGAAACCTTGAAAGAACAAAAATTCAATCTACTGCTGAATATAGAGATCCTAACATCTTAAAAAGGCTGTGAAATCACCTGCAATCAAACAACAAATCCTTTGGAAAGTTATTGTTCTTGGACACAATAAATTACTTTTTAAGAACCATTAAGTTTTCAAGTGAATTAAGACAAAGGGTTAAGTGAGCAAAATGAGAGTGGCTTACACTGTTGTTTTATGGGATAATGATCTTTCTTCAAGTCTGATAAAACATTTATGGAGTTGCTGTGAGCTCCCCATAATGTTACTAATATAGTTGATAGTTAAAGAAGAAGCAGACTAACAGGGAAACTAACCGTTCTCCTAGAAAAACTATGTCTGAGTTCCAGGTACTTGGTAAATTATCTATGAAGCTATTGCTAATTATTTTATGGAGTTATCTATGGCTTTAACCAGGAAATTAATTAGTGCTGTAGCTGTATGTTGGTGTAATGTGAGATATCATTTTCCCCGTTCCCGTACAGAGGAGAGTGATTACAATTTAATACATGTCTACATGCTTTCAAATGATATAACAGTATTTTAATGCTTTACAGTTTATATCAGATCCCAAGCAATACTTCAGTGCCTTCACCTGCCTCCTCAAATACAGGGTGGGCAGCCAGTGCTTTTGGAAGTTGGCTGGAAGGAATTCCACCTCCTCCTTCAGAGACCATGCCACGGGTCCTTAGCGGAAGGACTGAATAGAGCTGTAATTGGTGAAAGGAAGGTAAAACCAAACTGAAGTACTAGAAATCTCAGTTAAATTCCATTATTTATCCTGGAGAAACTCTCTCCCTTGTTCTGCTGCTCTTATTGAGACAGACTTGCCATTGAAGAAGTTTATCTCATTTTGTCAGGTCGGCATTTTTCTGTTTGCAATATTTTTGTTAATATTATTCCTTACCAGTCCTACAGCATTTGCCTACACAACCATATCAGTGAGAAGGGTTTTCTCTACATTTTAACATGCAGCATTGTCCTGTATATTTTCATTTAATATCCCCCACACACTCCTGATAAAGTAAAAATGCCACCAAAACAAATGAACAAAACCCCAGTTATACAAGACCACTCCAAACACCTGGAAGCAGGACACCTAATAACAGAACACAAGGAGCTGAACATCGATTTTCTGCAATTCACCAGTTGGCATATCAGCAGAAAGCAGAAAGTTACTTTCTGAATGAATTATCCAATTTCCTTTGCCTTGTCCCTACCCCATTTCAGAATAGGTGTTTCAAAACTATTGATTTGCATATGCTTGAAGTACATTATTGGCTGAATAAATCCTTTAACAGGACTAAGCAAAACCATTCTTCTGGTAAACACTGCATGGGCTATTTAGAATAGACACTGAGCAAGTGAAAGAAGTCCTGTATCAAAATTCAACTTAGATATTTTCTTCTAAACTGTGTAATCTTTAGTGATTGAAGTTGTACTGAATCTGTCAGATGCCTTTATTCCTGCCCAAAGGCTTTTTGGGACTACTGCCTAACAATCAGTTCCCAACCAGCCAATTGCTTTTTGATTTTTATTTTGCACATTAGAAAGTAGCCCATTAAAAGCTGATTCCTTGAAAGAAAAAGGAGGAAATATAACACCTGCTTAGTAAATGATGTAAAATAGCTCTAAAGTAAGGATGCATTTAAAGTGAGAACGTATGAACACAGATGTGCTTTTCTTTATGTGAATTGCTAATAATGTTTTCTAAGACTTTTGGGAAACTTGCCTTTGTTGATCAGTTCATCAAAGAGTTAAAAGAACAAAATTGTGAGAGAGTTTTGCTTCGCATCAATCATTTGCTTCAGAATTTGAAGATCACTCTTCCCTTTTAATCAGCACATGGAATATATTCTCTTTTCTTGGAGAGGGCAATTTGTTCATTACTAATTGAAGTAGACTAATTATAAATGATTAGCATTTGAAGAAGGCTTTTAACTGCTATATAAGACCAGTTCAGTGTGCATTTCTCTGCACTTCTCATGAGTGTAACTTAAAATACATGATTCAATAAAGGCCTCAGTATAAAATAGGATTAAATGTACTTATAAGGCTTTAGCAGTCATTTTTGCTGGTCTTTAATCCTAATTCAAATGATGCTAAATATGCAGAATCACAAAAGACAGAAATCAGGTAATTCAGTATAAACATTCTTGCTTCCTGTGACATATTTCTACTACTTTCCCAAGTACCATTTCACTGCAAATATTGTTTCACAAAGAGTATTAAAAATACCTTAAGCTTTTAGTTCAAAATGGTAAACAACTCAAGAGGTAATACTGATCCTGCAAATCCAAAAGAGTCAGAGAAATTTACACTGAAAAGAATTGGACAGATTTTTTAGTTGCTTGGAACAGCAGCAACGGTATTGATAGGTGCATCAGTTTTGAATAAAGCCATCAAAATGAATTATTTACATACCCAAATATGTCTAGAAGAGAAATAGGTTTTTTAGCTCCTCACTCCTCTCCTTGCTCTCTGGTCATGACAATAGATGCTGCATTGCTCTGCATGATTTTCAATCTGTGAACATGAATGTGACTCCTGCCTTTAGAACAACTCACGTCTGCAAGGCTAGGGCAGGGAAAAAGGCAAAAAGAAGAAAGGAAGTGACTTTTTGCTTGACGCCCTTCTGGGAATCCAGTTTTTCTCTTGGTGAAAAGATTCCTCACTTGACTTTTCTATTTTGTCCTCTGCAACTTGTGTCAGTTTTCCAGACTGTATGTTCTTTATGAAGACATCTATCGCTATAAAAATTCCTTATAATTCCCTCTCTCCTTCCCATTTCAGGACCAGCTTTGAACATGAACAAGGACCAGTCTTGAGCATGAACCAGGAGCTGCAACCAGGCGCCCCCATTATGAGAACATTCCTACACAGCATCATAAATGTGGAAGTTTGCATCAGTGCATGAATGAACGCCCCTGCCAAGCTGATCCAAGGGTAAAATGAAATACCAGGTGCTAAAAAGTGCAGTGCACAAACACAGTCAAGGCACCCTGCACTCACAGACCTTAACAAGACACACTATCAGGTTTTCTGAGGCTTCATGATAACGGAGGTTTTTTTCATGAATGGGGTGGAGAATGATGGGGATGTTTTTTACTTTGTCACCTCAGAGGTGGAGCAGTTAAAATATGGAGACTGAGCTGAGAAGTCATTTGGTGTTCCTGCTGCTGAATTACTGGAAATTGCTGAATGGGGAATTGGATGAGTCCATGATGTTCTTGGCATGAGGAATAAACACAAGGAGATTGTGTTTCATACAAAAAAGTGACCGAGTATTACAAGAATGAAAAGAGAGGGGTGACATGGACACAACTTTGTAGTAGAAGACCAGTCTTTGCAGCAGCACTTTTAATAAATGGGGGGGACCAAATTTGTTTTGTATTTATATACAAACATGGCAGTGAAATGCTGGCCATTCAGATTAAAAAGTGGTGCAAGTGAATATCAAGATGCCTATTTTAATTTTGTGGAATTTGAAAGATGTCAGAGAGACAAGGGGGCAATGGGTCTGGGATGCTGAGGGCTGTTAGTTGTATTTAAAAAGTATTTAAATTTAAATTTGCAGGTAAGGGTAACCTGAGATAAATATAAAGGCAAGAGTGAAGGAGACAAAATAATATGTATTTTGAATTTCCCACCAAGAACCACAACAAAATCTAGAGAGTTCCTTAGAAGAAAGACAGCAGGAGAAAATTATCATGGTGCAGAGTCAGAGAAGCCAAAAGGGGACTGATTTCAAGAGTTGCTTAGCTGTATTGAAGGGAGCTGGAAGTTCAAGGCAGGACACAGAGTGCTATTTCTGAGTGTAAAGAGATTGAATAGAGAGGAGAAATGGTAGTTAAAGAGGCTAGGGGGTGGGACAAGTTTATTTGTGCTGTGACATGAGAGGATGGGAAAGTGAGGCAAAGATTAAAAGACAAAATAGAGACTAGCAAAACTGAATTTAGAGTTCCAGTGTTGCAATAGGTAAGTAACAGGGAGTGAAGACAAAAGATTGTGATGAAAGAAAATGGAGAGGACTGAAATAAGTTCTAAAAATATGTCACAGATGTTTCTTGAATTGCCAGACGGTGATCACTGTGCCTACTGGGGATGATGAAAGTAGACAGGTCCAGATATTGCAGGACAGACTGCATGATTCTGTGATGCTCTGATCCAGGCTGCCTTGTTTTCTGGCAGAGGCATCACAGAGGGAAGCTGGGGGCTGGATTCCTTGAAATTTGGCTGAGGTGGATCTGAACACTCCTGCTTCTGCATGAGGCTGCTACCCAAGGTGAGTGTCTGTGACAGTGTTCACAGGGGCTCTTGGACTGGGGACGAGATGAGGATCTGACTCCATGTTTCACAAGGCTTGATTTATTATTTTATGATATATATTACACTAAAACTATACTAAAAGAATAGAAGGAAAGGTTTCACCAGAAGGCTAGCTAAGAATAGAAAAACAAAGAATGAATAAAAAAAGCTTGTGTCTTGGACTCTCTGTCCGAGCCAGCTGGGCTGTGATTGGCCATTAATTACAAACATCCAACATGGGCCAATCACAGATGCACCTGTTGCATCCCACAGCAGCAGATAATCAATGTTTGCATTTTGTCCCTGAGGCCTCCCAGCTTCTCAGGAGGAAAAATCCTAAGGAAAGGATTTTTCATTGAAGGATGTCCGCGACAAGTGTCAGCCAAACCACTGAGAGAGTTTTGAAGAGGCAGAGGGTTAAACCTGTGGGTCAAGCATGGCATGAGTGGGTGTGTGAACATGCTCTGAACTCAAAAATGAGAGTCTAAAAACCTAAACATTATCCTGTCAATTTTTCTTATTCTTCTGACATTGAAACAGGGTGGAATTGAGACAAGTAAATGCAGAAATAAAGTTTGAAATCAAAATCAGATAGACAGTGTTTGCAAAGCCTTATTATTAAAGTGACAATGAACAGAAACTTCTTGGATCACAGAGATGAAGTCAGATACCTAAAGTCATATCTATTTCAGAAGTCTGAGTCCTTTAAAAAATGGTTTTTAGGCTTTTCATCCCTTTCTTCTGAACTGATCTGCCATTTTTGAGTGCTCTTATTAATGTTTAGTAACTGTAGGGATGTTGATGTTCCAAACAAGAGGATATCTGGGGATGTCCTCCTTTTCCCTGTCTCCCTTGTAGAAAAGTACCCAGTACAGCATATCAAGAGTAATGAGATTTTTGTATCATTATAAAGATAGAAGTGCATTTTAGCTCTGTTATCTACCAATGTTGTCATCTTTTGCACAGGTACTATTTGCACAAAATAAAACCAACTGTAGGAAAATCTGTTATAAAGCCTGTCCTTCAAATATAACACTGAAGAAGATAACTGAAGGGTAGTATTGCAAAGTAAACTACAAGTGGCTTTCACAGCTTATACTGCAAGTATCCTAACAAAGTCATAAAACCAAAATATAGCCACTAGGTATTTAAATATCATTGCTATCATACAAAACTAAATAGCCTGTAATTTTTCTTTTTTTCTGTTTTATATGCCAGGGGATTCTTTCAAATGTATTTACCATAGTCATTTCCCCCCCATTATCTCCTAAATTTTTGCAAATTTGAGCTCAGAAATACTTACCTATATTAAAAATTCCTGATATTCCTCCTCCTCTCTTAGTTTCTCTGTTCCACTTTTCTATCTCATATCAGAAGCAAAGTGTAAATGTATTTGCAGATTTCTCTTTTTTCTCTCCAGCTTTTCTCCACCTGCAGGCCTTTGATTTGAAATTGTAAGGCACTTAAATCTTCTGCCAGCATTCTTATAAACAGATTCAACTTGTCCTTTTGTTGATGCTTCAGCATGTAGCCAATTTCCTCTCTTTTCTTGCAGTTTAGAAGACCTCAGATAATTCTGCCTCTGTTCTCTCACAAATATATGAAATTCTAAGTAGTCATCTAACTTCACATTCATGAGGCAATTTCATTGCCACCAAATTGCAGACTTGGCAAAACACTGTCCATCTGCCTTTGAAATGATTTAAGAAAGGATTGAATTTCAGAGATGCTGGTGCAGACAATCTAATCTGCTACATGTCTGCTTGTACTTTTACAGAATAGCCTTGTTCTTTTGCATATCCCAGCATGGAATGCTTAAACTGTTGTTGAGCTTAGTTAAAATTTCCATTCCATTCACCAGCGCTTCATATTTTATTTGATAAAAGACAAGATCAGTGGGATTCATAGAATTTGGCCTAAAACTGCTGATAGCAGGAAACAATGCAGTTCTGAATAGATCTTTAGAAAGGACTGACTGATGTCAGTGTGCACTCTCGTGTGGCTTGGCTGCAGTTTTGGGCTGCTGAAGTAGAAGTGGTGAATGCTTTTACTTGTGTTCCAAACTCTTAGTTAATGCCTTTGCAGATAGGTTATCTGGGAATGGTGTAATGTATTAATCCCTCAGGTTTATTTAGATAATCCCCCTCTGAAGATTTAAGCAGCTGCCTCCTCAGATTCCTTGGTCTGAAGCCGGTCAGATCATCTGGAATCCAGTGGGGTTTTTTTTCCCCTTTTCATCTTCATTTCAGGACTTTCAGTCTGCAGGCTGTAAGCATCCACAAAGGAATGTGAGCAGCTGTGGTTGCAGAGACGTGTCTGCTGAGCAGCAACATGTGCTCACAGTGGCACAGTGGCCTGATGGGTGGGATCCTTTTTAAAAAAAAAAAGAAAAAGTATTTATCCTGTCTCTTGAACAATGTGTTTAAATGTAGAACAAGCAGAAATTCTGATTTGCTGTCCTTTCTCAGTGGTCGCTGTCGCTCAAACAGTGGCCGTCCAAATACTTCAGTGTTAACTTCCAAGCACACTAAATCTGCTGCAGTCAGGAAAGATATTAAATACTAAAAAAAGAAACATACTGACTAAGTTGCTGGCTCTCAGGCTGAACAGTCTCATACATCTTTTACCCTCAATAGCTTGTAGACTCTGATGTAAGAGAGGAAGAGTGGCCATGTACTCGGAGAGAAGGCATTTTCATTATGTCAAAAATAAGTGGCTGAAACCTGAAGTGTGGCTAGTGCTGAGTGTACTTCCTTGGCAGGAGCTGGTGGCATTCTGAATAGCAAAGCCTTTGAGATGTGTTTCAGTAGTCCTGTATTATTTATTTTGATCACATAAATGTTTATTATCTGTCCCTAAAAATAGATGAAGTGAATTTGAGAATGTTGCAATGTGAATAAACAGCGAGTCGATGAAAACTCCTTTGGCAGTGTACCTAAGCCACAATCAACCACTCACAATTTTTGTTGTATAAAGACTTTGGGGAGCAGGGGGGAGTTAGTGTCTGTAGGCTTATTGGCTCTGTGTACATTTGCTATGACCCTTTTGTTAGTGAAATTACTCAGGAAGGAGATAGGAATCAATGCAGCACTGCAGGCAGTGTAAGCCAACTTGTGCACGTTTCGAATATAGTTGTTAAGATCTTATCTTGTCATGCTTGCCCAAACGATAACAAATCCCAAATACATTCTTACCATGGGGCTGCTCTAAACCAGACTGCAGACATGGATATTTTGAGCGATAATCCAGAAATTTGTAGCAACAAACTTTGCTTTCTCTTTTTGCCAACAGCGCCTAACTGCTGCTGCAAGCTGAACTCAAAGATGCTGATGTGTGTAACTGTAGTGATGGGTTTATGGTAAGTATTTGAAGCTGAATTTTCCTTTTTTTTTTTTTTTCTTTTTAAGTCTTATGACCTATATTTCAGTTAGTTGTAGAATACCCTTGGAGTGGTTGTGAGCAATTCTTGTGATTTTTCAGCTGTTCTGAAATCTTATTCCTCAGTTTTTGTCCTGTGCAGTAGGATAGCACTTATAAAAACATATTTTAGTTGTTTTAAAATGGTGTAGTCTTCTATACACTACTGAACGTTTGAATTGTGATCTCTTATTGAATTGTGCCCTTTATTTGATATGTTGTCAAATGCCATTTCAAATTTCTTTCCAATAGTTCATCCGATTGATTCCATCATCTTCTATCGCTTCCATCGTCTCTTCCACCATTACAACATAGCAGTAAGAGTAACAAAGTCTGATTTAATAATCTGTCTACAACATTTTATAGGTAAATAGCATCTTTTTTCCAAGATAGAACCAATGTTGTGGAAATCAGTTAGACATTTAGCAGCATTGAAAAATATACGTTTTAAAAAAATCTTTAAAATTTTGGTTTTTCTAGAAAAGATAAAAAAAAAAAGGAAAAAAGCCCCAAAATCTATGTGATTAGGAGAATAGCAGCCCTGAGATTATTCTCTCCTATCTGTTAAAATCCGTTCCTAGCAGACATAACAAGAGCTCAACTTCATGGCAAAATTGATTTGAAGTGCATCCTCACTCTTGACTTTCTCTGCGGTGGCTCATTTCCCTTTTCCGTGCTCCTTTGCAATGGCATTCTTCCAAGCTGTGAGACTGAGAAGTACAAGCCCAACACTGATTTCAGCAGGGAACTGCAGAGACATTTGCCCTTTATTGTAGATGCAGAACATAAATTGAATCCAGGGAGAGCAGCATCTTGAAAGTACCCTAGGAATAATTTTTCTAGAGCAGACATTTAGATGATGAGCATTGTTCCCTTTTGCTAAGCTTTTTTAATATCATAGAAAGTCAAGCATGTTCCTACTGTAAATATTGTATATCCCTTTTTTAAACATGATTTTTACACAAACCCTTTTGGATGGCAATACAAATGCAAAATACTTAAGATCCAAATTAATTCAGAAGTAGAAGATTCAATTTGGAACTTTGCACAATAAATAACTGCTGAGTGTGGATTTTGATGGAGCATAATTTATCAGATAAAACTGCAGGTCATGGTGTATTTAAGGCCACTACTTCTAATACTGGATTTTATTGTAAAATCAATTAATTGATCAATTAATTATAGTCAGTCATTTATCATCCTAATGCAGACACTTTTTCTCCCTCAAAGTCAGACTACTCCTCTCTCATAGGAGTCATGCTTTCCATAACACTTTTTATTTTATTGGATTAGTTTGGAAAGGGAGAAGGCAGACCTCAAAGCCACACAGGCACACAAAAACAATCACTTTGTTTCCTCTGTGAAGGCAAAAATCACAGGCAAAACCTTCATCTGCAGGGAAAGAGATACTACCAACCTAAACTAGAATCCTGAGTTTCTTGTTGTCCTTGCCAAATTGAATGTAGGGATTGAATTCAGAAATAGTTTATGGGAATTTTCACAGAAGTTGAGTCCATACAGTGTTGCCAGAATGTGTTTCTAGTAACAGTCAAAAATTCTTCTTAGCTTGTACCAGTTAAGAGGTTCCTGTTTGATTAGGGGGTGGCCAAGGGGCACACACATCCAATGGCATTTCAGCAGCATGGCATTAAACATGGCACCAACCATTCTAAAAACCAATCACCAGGTCAAAAATCTACAAGTTGTCTTTGCTCCCTTGGACAAGGGAAGGTTCAGAATGGAATCCAGAGAACCCATATCAATTATCTCCATTTAACAGGAAATGCTGATGGTAAGAATACGTATGAACAGCTTCAGAGGGTGTTTCCCGTCCTCACCAGACTCTCCTTTTCTGCAGTTACTTATTTTTCTTCTGTCTGTCACAATGAGGCACAGTCAGAAGGGTGGGATCAGGGGAAATTGAAATCTACACCCTCTGTGTGTCTGCTGTCTTTGTCCAGTGGATTTTCTACAATTATTCTCCTTTTGAATTTCTTCTCTTTTAAAGAGTGAAATTAAATATTCAAGGGGCCAGAAAGAAAAAAAGAGGAGAAATATCTCCTAGTGAGGGGTGCAGCTAATCATTCACATGCTGATTTTTTGGATCTAGCGTCAAACAATTCTTATTTATGGACTTTCAAATATCTTTTTTTGATGTATCCTTCTATCACAGTCTAGCATTCATCACTTACCTGTCTATAATCAAACTTCCTGTGATACGAGGAGGTGTATATACACTGACTATACATAAAAGTTTTGTATTTAAGTTTTTTTAATTACACACCCCTCATTTTGATGAGGTGTATGATTTAATCTACTTTAATTATGAATCTTTTTTTTCCTGCTGTATGTATTACTGATCAGTTTTTTGGTCACGTGATGCATATATTTCAGTTATTTCTTTCATATAAATTTAATTTTTGCACGTGAATCCCAAAAAATAAACAACTGTGAAAAATTTATGAAATGTAAATGCTCATTTAGAAATTATTTTTTGTGAGTCTGGTCTGCATTGAAGTAATGCAGATTATAAATTCGATACCATTTTCTGCAAAAACAACAAAAAAGAAAAAGAACAGAAATTCACAACTTGAGTTTTGCAATTTTAAGAGAAGGCCATCATGATGAAAATTCTTTCATTCCTAGTGAGATTACATGATCATAATCACAAAAGAAAACATGCTTTGTACAAATTTAAATAGTAACTAGCCATGGGACAAGTTGTGGTCTTGTTCTATATTGAGTTACTCTGATGGAGGGTAATCATTTGCTGCTCAGGGAATAAAAAGAACTCCATATCTCTGTCTGTAACTTGTAATTTCATTGTGTGGCTTACATTTCCTTTTTTTTTGCCATGGTTTTCCTGTCTCTCAAGAAACAATGAGAAATTCAGTAAACTGTGAAAAAGTTCCATTAGATAACATCTGTTTTCTGGTGCTTCCTTTTTACTTTTTTACCTTGAGTAAGGTCACCTGGCTTTTCTCCAGAGTGTTTAACAACAATGAGGAACAGATTCATAATGTCAATGGGTCACTAGTACATTTTTGTCAGTGGCCTATATTTCTCCTTCAAGGTGTTCATGTTTTTACACTTGGAAATCCAGCATGAGTTCATTGAGACTGAACTTTAAAATGGAAATAAATAATGATTACATCATTTAGTTTTTCTCTTGTGTCAGGGAAAAATAGGTAAAATATCCTTAAACCTTTATCTCTTTTTTTGTTGCGTATTGTAAAGAAGTCAGCATAGCAGACTTACCCAGGAAGATCCTAAAGGAAGCTTGAGTGAAACCCTTTTTTCACTTCCAAAGTATATTTGTAGTCTGATTATTTGAAAAGCTCCATTATTATGTTGGCATTCAATGTTGTTAATAGCATTTTCCAAAGGAGAGCTGGTTATTTAATTCAACTCCCAACTTTTTTAAACAGAAAATGGAGTCATATGAAAACGCTGAATATATTCTAAATAAATAATTGAAATTTGCATATCATATAGAAGTGCCTGCCATAGAGAGGTTGATTATAGTGAGATTTATTACACAGGGAAAACATTTTTATATGCTGATTCAATTAACTTTGAAAACTTGCAGTAGTGTGCTGGTATTGCTTATAGCCAGTATTTGCTTCCAAGGCAGCAAATTTATTGACTGTGTTCAGTATAAGCCCCAGGGGTGGAATCATAGAATGGTTTGGGTTGGAAGGGACCTTAAACTACGCCTAGTTCCAACCCCTGTGCCATGGACAGGGACATTTTTCACTAGACCATGTTGCTCAAAGATCCATCCAACCTGGCCTTGAACATTTCCATGGATGGGGCATCCACATCTTCTCCAGGCAACATGTTGTGATATCCACATTTTTTAACATGATTTCTTTGTCTAGGGATTTTTTTTTTTTTCTCGTGGGAAGCAGAAGGGCAACAAGAGACTTCAGAAAAAAAGAAAACAATTTTTATTTCCTTTGCTTGTGTTCTGTTCATGTGGAATGGGTTTGGAAATTTTATACCCACAGGTGATTGCTTGATTGGACTCTGGTGTGAGTTGCCTTAACTCATTGGTGACTGGGGCTGTGTTGGGACTCAGGAAAGAGTCACAAGTTTTTATTATTATCTTTTTAACATTCAGTAGGTATTTTTTGTATTCTTTAGTATAGTATAGCATTCTTTAATATAGTATAATAAAGTAATAAATTAGCCTTCTGATAAGATTGAGTCAGATGAATCATTCTTTCCCCTCATTGGGGTTGGCGTATGTTATTGCATTTACAATAATATGTGCCAGGGCCTCACCATCCTCATAGTAAAGAATTTCTTTCTCAAGTGTGATCTAAACCTACTTTCCTTCACTTTGAAGCCATTCCCCCTTGTCCTTCACTCCAGGCTCTTGTAAATAGCCCCTCCCCAGCTTTCTTCTAAGTTCCCTCAGGTAGCTGGAAGGCCATAATTAGACCTTGGTTTTCTTGTAATAAGGGTTGTACCATCAAGTCTTCCAGTTTCAGTTCTTTTAGGGCTTGACCCACAAGTGTTTGAAAGTTTTGGCCATTGAATTTAGTCAGAGTGTACTGAAAATTGCTTTGGTATTCCACAGAGTTTTCAGACCTCAATTAAATATTTTCAAATAGCATATTACTGCAGCCAGAGTTATTCATTAATGCCATATCCAGCACCCTTTGAAATAAATGTATTTTTAAGGCTCTGAACTTCAGACCATATGCTCAAAGACAAGGAGGTATGTAAATGGAATGTGATTTCCTGTCCAAGATGAATACATGCTTCTGATCAGATCTGTATGAAATATTTAGATCCTGGTTTAAAGCACTTCATTGCTATTTTAACATTAAGCATACGAGTTGTCATTCAGGCTGTTTGGGCTTAGAATCAGCCATGAGGCTGAGAACGTGGCAATCAAGAAAGTTCTCAAATAGAATTTTAGACTTTTCTCTT